CTTGCAAAGGGGGGGGGGGTGCTCTGGATGCCTCCTACATGAAGCGGCCTAAGGTCCTGTGAGTCATTATGTGCTATAGAATTGAGAATTCTCAAGCGGTGGCCATATTGAGTGGGGCACCTTAGATTTATAACTTGCTGGATTACTGTGATCCTAGTTCATTTTATTACTTCATTGCTGTGCTGTATGTGTATAGGCCAATGCTTTGGCTGGCACTCGTGCAGAACAACTTTCTTGGGCAAACCTCTTAGTACTAACGAAACCGGAAGTCAGCCGGTCGCAGAACTCGATAAGTTTGAACTTTCGATTGAACATCGGCTTTCGCTACACCCCGGTGTTATAAAGTAGCAAATACTCCAAGATCACTACTGTGATGTACTACAATCTTATGTTTAATTTACTAGTTTGTATTGAGATTGTAGTCCATCACAGGAGCTAGCTCGGAGCGGTGACTACTTTACAACACACACATGGACCATGGGGAACAAAAGTAGCCACCCTCCAGAAGGAAGGACAGTGTCAGCACCAATTCAGAGATGATTTGAGGATCTACAGCCGAGTGATACACAAATATAATACATATTTGTTATTAGTTAGGGTCCCTGAATGCATTTTTAAGATTTAACTCCTGAGATTGTCACTTTCAATTTGTTCAGTTGAGCTTTGAAAATGAAAGAAAGAAGCTGATTGGTTGTTACAGACAACTGCTCAAGATTCTGCCTGCTCCAGTTTTAATAAATTTCCCCCCTCAACATGTTGCCATTGATGTCCAATGGCCTCCCAATGCACTTAGGCTGAGCAGTTTTCCACATTAATTCGGCTACACAAATACGTGCAGAACCGCGCTAAACATAAAAAACAATGCAGTGCAATGTACACCGTTCAGGCTATTGCAGTCGGCCGCACGGTACGTGTGTCACCCAAAATAGTGCGAACATGATTTTTGGGGCGGATTCCCCACGTCCAGGCAATAGTCATGAGGAACAAAAGTAGCCACACTCCAGAAGGAAGGACAGTATCAGCGCCAATTCAGAGATGATTTGAGGGTTTGCAGCCAAGTGATACACAAATAAGATACATTTCTGTTAATAGTTGAAGTACTTGAATGAATTTTTTAGATTTAACTCCTGAGTTTAGTCTTTATTGGAAGCCCATGTAACAGCGTGACAACACAGGAGCACAAATAGAACACAGGGACATATGTCACTTGATAACAGGAAGTGCCCGAATAAGGTCATTTATGGCAGGATCACTGGGTGTTATTTTAATGAAAGTTTCAGATTTAAAAATAGTGAAAATGACTTTTGAAAACATTAAAGCAGAACTCCAGCCAAGAATAAGATAAAACTGAACAGCCCATTAAAGGATACAATACCTAAACCAACTTTTGCTGCAGTATTACGTTTCAGTCCAGAGGTTTCCCACGCAGTATTTTTTTTACTGCTGCTCGATCTCCTCAGTCTGATAGCGAGCATTAATCAACCTACTTCCTCTGAGCCCAGATCATCATGCAGCCACTCCAGTCTGTGACCGTAAAGTGAAAAGAGAAGACGCAAAGTGATGACCTTGTCTCTGTCCCTGCTTTCACCTCCTGGCAGAATGCGTCTCATTAGCACAAGAACTGATTGGCTTCTTGTGCTACCTTTTCCTCTCAGACTCCAGTTCTGCTATACAAGGACTACAAATTCACATACTTACACTGATAGCATTTATAAATATATTTCTTGATGTAATACAAAGCTGCACAGTCATATCTGCCTGAGTTCAGCTTTCTGTGTGACTTTAGTGATTGGGTTTACCTATAAATTACACCACCCTACCTGCTACATACATAGGGTGTCAAGTTTTACATTGATCTGAGTGGCTGCCATTGTTGCTCTGTTGGATGTGAAAATATACTGGGGGATCTTCATCTTCCTTGCGGGATGTTGGACTTCTGTTGTGTTGCTGTCCTTCAAGGAGGGAGAAAGGAGCTGCCTCCAGGTAACCTGCTCTCAGCTTATGCAATACAGTTGAAACTCGAATAATTAGAATATCGTGCAAAAGCAATTGCAGTAAGTGCTGCAAAAGGGGCCCAAACCAAGTACTGAGTACATATGCATGCTTGTACTTTTCAGAGGTCCGATATTGTTCTATGTACAATCCTTGTTTTATTGATTGCATGTAATAATCTACTTTTTTGAGGTTGTGGATTTGGGGTTCTTGGGGTTTTCATGAGCTGTAAGCCATAATCATCACAATTATGACAAATCACGGCTTGAATTATCTTGCTTTGCATGTAATGAGTCTATCTCATATATTAGTTTCACCTTTTAAGTTGCATTAGTGAAATAAATGAACTTTGCACGATATTCTAATTATTCGAGTTTCACCTGTATATGTCCTGTAGTTGGGAACTCCATTAGTTTACAGAGGTGCCTTTGGCTAGGTAGTGTAGCTTTACATGAATTTGCAAATGTATGCAATAAAAACCTCTGTTCTTAACCGAATAGCTATCTCCACACATACCTTTTCCAGAGCAGCTTGCAATATTTATCCACCATATCCATACACTAGAGCCTTAATTCTCAACTGGTGGGTCGTGACCCAAAAGTGGGCCACGAATCTGTTTTCAGTGGGTCGCCACATGCCTTCTACTTTTCTAGGTGAGAAACTCCTCTGCCTCCCCCTAGCGCAGCACCGTCAGTTCTCGCGCCAATCAGCGATTCAAAATATGCTGCCCAGCGCCGAATGTCAGCTTGAGGTGGGGTAGGATGGGGCCATGGCCGTTATGGATGAAGCTCCCTATGTGCATTGCTTACAGTTCCCTCACGTGTCCTATAGAGGTGCTTGGACCGGGTAGACATCACATTTTGGCTCTCGGCACCTCTACAGGATGCATAAAGAAACTGTACAAGCAACGCACATATAGATGGAGCTCCGTCACAGCACAGCAGCCCACACTGGACACCAGGCTGAGCATCCACTCAAGTTCTCCGAAGGTAGCAAGCCCTTTTGAAGGTGCGTTCAATTAACGCACTGTACCACGCAATCGCACCTACCGTGGA